TCTGTGAGGACCTCCACCCCTTCTCTGTCTTCTGTTAAGACCCCCAGCCCCTCTGCATCCTCTCCTTCTCTTTCCAGCCCCTCTCCTCCTTCCTCTGTGAGGACTCCATCTATGGCCTCTGTGAGGACTGCCGCCACCCCTCTATCCTCTGTGAGGACCTCCACCCCTTCTCTGTCTTCTGTGAAGACCCCCAGTCCATCTCCTCCATCCTCTGAAGGGACCGCTAGGCCTTCTTCTCCCAGCCCCTCTCCCCCTCCATCCTTTGTGATGACCCCCAGCCCATCTCCATCCTCTGTGAGTGCAGCAGCACCTATTTATTGGACAGGCTATGCTGTATATTAGTGCAGCCTTTAATACAATAACAAATTGTCTTCCATACAGGAGGAGCCTGGAGGAGTCCAGCCAGCCCCTGCTGGGGCCTCAGCTTCTTTCTGGCTGCCAGGTGAATGGCCCAAGACCATCCCTGTGCAGGACCAGAGGTGGATTACCAGCACTATTTTTCACGCTGACAAGCTGCGGCCAGATTTGAAGTTGTTGTACGAGCCGCCTGTCCCAGCTCTCATTTACCACCAGATACCTACACCTGACCGGTTCTTCACCCATCGGTTGATGGTGTGGAAGGAGAGGGTTTTCTGTCCAGCTTGTGGCAAGAACTTGACAGGCTATGGTGTCCACAAAAGAGCTCGGAAGGTCCTGGACATCGACAGGTACTACCTGACGGTTACGGAGACACTCAGGTGCACTGTGTGTTCTCTGAACTATCTGTCTACAAGTCAGACTGTCCAGGACCAGCTTGACCTGCCGCACCAGAAAATGTTCCGTCTGATCCTGACCCACAAGTGAGTAAAGTAGTCTAAAGATGGTTAATGTGAAGACTTAAACCACTGAAATTACCCCCCCCCCCCCAATGAAAATGTAATGTACTCAAGAAAATGAGTAAAGTAGTCTAAAGATGGTTATTGTGAAGACTTAAACCACTGAAATGACCCCCCTAATGAACATGTAACTGATCACAGCAACAATGTGCATTTCAGGTATGCCTGTGACATCCGTGTCATTAGGCTGCTTCGGGACAGGACACTGGGCAACAGTCCAGCTCGATTGGTGCGGCAGTTGAAAGAAAACCATGAGGAGGTGAATCGGTTGGCACACTATCTTGGGGAGTGTGCTGACTTTGTCGATCGACCCAGCCTCTCTCCGGTGGTCTGCCAGGAACCTCCAGATTCAATTGACATCCCCACCAGTCGTTGGCTGCTGTCAGTGTATGGCAGCAAAATCCTCTCCAGAATTGGACATATAAAGGCCAGCATCACATCCATCTTTGGCAACATCTTAAAGATGGATTCCACAAAAAAGGTAAAAAATAATTTGACTCTGTTACATTCTGTAATGTTCATAAATACCGTCAGACATTAATATTATTGTTATTGGTAACGTTACATCACAAATGTATTGCTACATTTGTAAATTCCAGATCACAAAGAAGCTGGCTGGCTATGGACGGGGGACAGCACTCTGGTTAACCTCCATTGGAAATGAGGTTGGCCAGATAGTGACCAGTGTGCTGTCAGTGCAAGAGGGGCCGGGACTGGACAGGATGGTGACCGGTGAAATAGAACGGTACCGCCAGGCTGCCATTCCACCCCCAGTGCTACTTTATGTGGACTGTGGCTGCTGCGTGAGTGAGGGAGCAACGAGCAAGCTGCAGACCAGGTTCGGCGAGTGGCCAGACCTTCACATACGGCTGGACATCTGGCACTTTATGAGGAGGATGGCCGTGGGCTGCACCACCGATGCACATCCCCTCTACCCCACCTTCATGGGATGCCTGTCTGCCTGCATCTTTGAGTGGGATGCTGGAGACCTCAGCCTGTTGCCTGGGGTTCCATGTTTTCTGTATTTTTTAATCAAATAAATGCAGGATTGATGAGCATAAGAGACTTTTTTCAAAAACATTAAAAATAGTATGAATAGTTACTTCTTTCAAAATAACATTAAATTAGACATTAAAAAAAGAGCTTCTTGGTGTTGACTACCTCTTGAGTCAGACTGGACAGCCCCTGGTAGTGGACCCCGACTCAGAAGAGACAGAGAACATGCTGTAGGATGTGAATGAAGGCGAGGATGAAGAAGACGAGGGCTTCGGGGAAGACCATGACATTACTGTGTCAAGTCTTACCGATGACCCAAGCTTCTCTGTCTCCTCCCATTTTCTGGCCTCCTCTGAGTCTCTCTCCTCCACCCAGCCTGCTGCCCCCTCTGCCCAGCTTGCTGCCTCCTCCACCTTGGCTGATGCCCCCTCCACCCAGCCTGCTGCCTTCTCCACCCTGGCTGCTGCCCCCTCTGCCCAGCCTGCTGCCTCCTCCACGCCAGGTGCATCAGCATCTCCTGATGAGTCTGTGGCATGTAAATACCTTGTTATATGTGCACTCAGACTGATTTATATACATGACTGGATTGTTCATGACATCATAAATAAATGAAGCCAATCCACCACGATATTAGTATTCCCTAATATTCGGTCACATTCTTTTGAACAGGAAATCATCTGATTTTACTGAATCAGCGTATTTATATCTTGCTGTAAAAAAATAGATTTTTATTTGTTAAATCTTTAGCACAGCAGTGAATATTAGTTGAAGGACAAGGTTTTTTTTTAATTAAAAAACTTGACCCTCTAACATTTGCACTCTCTATCCTATTTCTATTCTAATGGCCAATCCATCATTTTTGGGGGGAATTTTTTAATTATTTATTTATTTTTTATAAGTATCGGTTCAGGCACCGTTTAGGCACCGGAACCGTTTTAAAAGTATCGATTTGGCACCAGTATCAAAAAAAAAAAAAAAGATACCCAACCCTAGTTAGCACTGGTTCCTGTAAAGAAGTGAATAATGAAACACATGAAAGTGTCCATACTGTAAGGGAAACAGGTCAATTTAGCTCAAAGGGTAAATACATGTGGATATCTTCGTCACTCTAATGAGGAAGAGGAAAAAAAGTGAAAAAGGAGAAAACAATTCAATGAAAAGGAACAATTCCTTTTTCAGTTAGAGAATTTCTTTTTTTTTCAATTAAATGTTGTTATCAAGGCCCCGGAACCGTTTTAAAAGTTTCCATTTGGCACCAGTAACAAAAAAAAAAAAAAAGATACCCAACCCTAGTTAGCACTGGTTCCTGTAAAGAAGTGAATAATGAAACACATGAAAGTGTCCATACTGTAAGGGAAACAGGTCAATTTAGCTCAAAGGGTAAATACATGTGGATATCTTCGTCACTCTAATGAGGAAGAGGAAAAAAAGTGAAAAAGGAGAAAACAATTCAATGAAAAGGAACAATTCCTTTTTCAGTTAGAGAATTTCTTTTTTTTTCAATTAAATGTTGTTATCAAGGAGTATAAACAGTATTGTTATATCTCTGTTTGAGACAAAATAATACAATAATAATGCTGATATCTCTTTTCTTAGTCTGACAGGATTGACACCGTACACCTTACAGTTGGACCGCTCACCAGCAAAGGCGACAGTTGTTCACCAACTAATCTCTATTAAATTGATCTCGGCGTTGGAGATGTTAAAATTTGGATTGCGTTTTCAAATGTAAGGAGGTTAGCAAGAAGGTAGGAGGGGTTGATTACAATCAAATTCATAAGGATGATTCGTCTTCTTTCATAAGATTGTGTATTTTATTCACTTAGAATTGATTGATGGTTCTTACCGGTCCCCCTACACATGTGAAGAGTAAAGAGGGAAGGAAGCATGAGAGAACAGGAGAGACTTGAGAGAAGGGAAGGAGACTCGGTAAACTGAGTGGATCGGGTTCACCAGCAGGCTCTGTTGCTGTTATGCCCAACTACGAGTAGAGCGTTGTTTTTAGTTGCTGCACAACTAATCAAACAAAAATACAATTTAAGTGAAAAAGAGTTGTCTCTCTAATTTATTTGAACTCGTAGTGAGGGATAACGCTGTCTCTAAGGGCTCAAGTGTGTCGTTCCCAAGCTAGGATACACAGACGAAAGGAAATGGTAAGACAAAGTCAAATAAAAAAAAATAATAAATGGGCAAAATAAGCAAAAATGAAATTAAATAAAGAAGGAAATCAATTACTTTGTTAAACAATAGTGGCTAAGTGTATAACCAAAACAGGAAGAAAGAGTGGTAAAACGCAATAATATGAGTAAGTGTAAGTCTGAATAGAATATAATGATAGGGGTAACAGATCAATTAGGTAGAATAAGTTTACTTGAACTTTCAAAGTTCAAGGCTTATTCGTACCTAAAATGATTAGGCATGAGAGGGAATACTAGAAGTAATGATCATATGAAATTATCTGAGGGAAAAATTTGAATGATTCCAAATAAATTCAATGTTTTAATAAATTAGAATTTGGCACAATTAATAATTGTGAGTCAGCATTTCCCTTTCTAGTAAAATGCAGGTACGTGGTAAGAAGTGAGAAAAGGGAGAAATAAGAAAGAGACCAAAGTGTATTAGTTGAGGTGTTTAAAGGGTTAAATCACTTTAGAGTTGCCAAAACAGGCACTGCATTCAACCACTGGATGTTAATGCTAACCGCTAACCTTTGAGGCTAATGGCTTTAGCATAGACTTCAATGTAAACACAACCGTTTCATTAGCTTAGCAGCACCGTGGAGTTTGTTTACAATAGCGTCGGTGTGCTGCATGTGCTCAGTTCAGAGTTGCTCCGGAAGTAGGTTAAGACTTCCGTGTCACGATTGTAACTGTGGCAACCAAAAAAACTAGTGGACTAGCATGTGAATGGTTGCATTGCAAGTACAAATACTGTACACTGTACAAATAACAACACCGCTTTTAGTTGGTTTTGCGATGTGGCGCTTAAACTCTCAGTTCGTTCTGAGTTCAATTTAACTTCATTCAAATAGCAGCTTCGTGCTGCAGTTAAGGGAAACAGTGATACGATCTCAGCGGATCTTTAAATCTCCGTGCCAGTTTCTCTGGACACGTAAACACAACAGGTTTTATTCGCTGCTGGTACAAAGTTAAAATTTACTTGATCAAGCTTTAAAAACACTCCCATTTAAATCGCTCTCGGACACACGCAGTGTTAAACGAGATTAAATTCACTTTGTGAACAGACACAAACAGGCAAGCATTATTCTCTAATGTTTAACCCAGGGAGTCGAATAGCATTTGATTTGGCAATGGAAAATGGACTGGCAATCAAACTATGAATAATAAGGCTTTGATAAATAGATTGAGGAACATGCTCAAAACTATTCTTAATCCACCGATTTATTTCCCTTTTAACTACTGCAGTTTAGCTCCGTTTAGCTAACGGTGACTGAGATGCCCTGTCGGGAGTATAGCTATTGAAAGGCACTAGAACACGCAATGGCATCAATTCAGCTATAAACAAGGCATTACAGAAAAATGAGAAACACGCACAATTTTGACCTTATTGTACGATCTCAGATGTTAATTTTAAATTCACTTACTGCAGTTTAACAATGGAGAGTCGGACTCGGGTTACAGCCTTCTCTGCATTCATTCATTCAAGCGCAGCTTACGTCACACACACACACAGTCTCGACTCAGAAGCTTCTCATATTTCACCTGCAGCAGTAGATTAAATAACTTGGTTTATGCTCACAATTTATATTAAACTGCCCGCATCCTCCACCAATATATGTAAGGGAAACAGGTCAATTTAGCTCAAAGGGAATCATTTAA